AATATATATACAACTATATAAAAGTGTAAGCGTGCAACAGTGAGCCGCGAGAGCAATGGCCGCCGGCAGCGTATGTTGTACATAGGATTTGGACGGAATTTACAGGAAACTGTCGGCAATAATAGGTGAAAGAGAGTATAGAAACATTAAGAATTTGGTAGTAAATAGATTTCGTATTTAGTTAGCATTATATTTTATTGAAACGCTTCAAGTGCTTGTGCTCTAACCTTTCCTCCTTTACCACGACCAGACATGTTGTCTTTGACGGAATGTATATAGAGACGAAAAAGATCGACACTGTGTCGTCAGTGTCGCTAAACTCTGCCGGGCCCTATATATACATCCGATAAGGATTGGACCGTACTTCTCTCGCCCAACCCATGGCTGCATCCACCTTAATCTATTATTGCATTTAAACTTACAAATGCTACTTCAGAGATAGCCTGAATCTACTGAACCTCCGTTTTACATTCTAACGGTCCTCGCAGATCGCAATGACCATAGCTTTAAGATTTCGGGCATTTGCATCTATCACAGCAGTCATATTCCCCTCTAGTTTGCTCTACTCATCAACCGGAAGAACTAAGAACCAGAGAAGCAACCAAGCACTAAAATTTGCCAACTGATACCGTATTTACTCGTGTATAAAAACATTCGTAATTAAGTCGCACCCCATAATTTGCCCTGAGAGGTTGGTAGAAACTTTGGTACATTAACAGGATTTCCCGTGTATATAAGTAGCACCCCAGATTTTTTTCATTGAAGTTGTGTACAAAAACGTGTTATAGATTATAAACGTGTAAACGAGTAGATACGGTATATATATATATAATGAATTAGGGAATCGATATACGTGCTATAAGGGAATATTTGCCCCGCAAACCTACATTATCACCCTATTTATTTGCAAACATATAGATGTAATATCATACATTCACTGCAGTATATAATGATAATAATATAATATAACAACAAGCCCGAATCTCAAGAAACGAATCGTAAGGTGGCACGCACGACTTTTCGTCAAATAACGGGGGCATGCCTGCATATGGCACATTCCACGAATAATTATTTATAATCGTGATGTGCAATTAAGTATTTATGAGCTCACCTGTCCCATTAGTCTAGTCTTACTCTGACAATAATTTTTACATCAAATGTACGTAGGCTTCTGAGAGCTGCCCACAGGGCTACGTTATCGTAATAGCTATCGCTAAGTGATTTACATAACTGTGCTGAGAGTTATTTATTACACGATTGATACGCGCACTACAACCGCAGCCTGAGTAAATTTCTTGACCCGGAGAGAATTTTGTAACAGCGCTGACACAGACAAGGGGATACTGTTTTTGAAGCACTTCAAGAAATAATCAAACCGCACATGTATGTTACAAATAAGCTGAACAGGTGAGTGATATTATGTTATATTCCCGGAGGGGGACGGGGCACTCACCTCGGAACTGGGTAGGGGGGTGCCTCCGGGACCTTGCAAACCTGACCCTGTCGCAAACCGCTTTCCCCCCTAAAATACACCCTGTCCCAATACACTGCCCCCCCCAATACAAAGCCCCCCCCCAACTCGGGTCCACATTAGGATCCCCGTGTATATATCTTCCAACAACTTAACAACATTAGACTAACCCAGTAATCATTAGGGATTGGGAATAGAATCACAATTAAGTAGATTGTACCAACCCGATGCCTACGCCTACAGAGGTTACAGGGCATTTTATACAGGTATATTTTATACACTGTCACTTACACCGTTCACACTACACTGCGTACTACACTGGCGACGAGATCAGGTCTAATCCTAACACGCTTACGCTACAGCACACACACACATACACACACACACACACGCACACACACACACACACACACGCACGCACGCTCGCACGCACGCACGCTCGCACGCACGCACGCACGCGCGCGCACACACACACATACGCATATATATATATATAACATATTAAGTAATATGTATATTATGTGTGGTGTCACTGGTGTGTGCCTAAGTAGGGCCTACTATACAGCGTATGGGCCATAGCGTGCGCGTGGTGAGGGGGGGGGTGATTTGACGTGATGCGGCCATGATGCCGAGGCGCGCCGAGGATTAACACTTTGTGTCTTCCAATCGGGCCAATCACAGCCTACGCCGCACCAGTCTTTTATATTTTTAAAGGTGGGGACCCATTGGACCACCAAATCGCCGATCTCAGAAACTAGGCCGGGCATTCTGCTATGTTAGAACGGTTTCCTACGATAGAGTTTGCCACAAATACGAAAATAACACGCTGTTTAGCGCACTGCGCTATACGTTTTTCTGTTGCATTTTCGCATCTCCGTAATCAGAATAAGCTCCGCCTTCTTCGTTGATGGACATAAATGAGGCGTCACCGACGTGACCAGTTACTGTACCAACTGTCTTTCGCCGGCCTGTTTACTTTTCGCATTTCGCATCGAAGTGGAAAATTTTTGGCATTTTCACTCGCTGTTGGAAGTGAACGAGTGCCTCATTCATTGAACATTGAAGTTTTTCTTCAAATTAAATAATTCCCAAAATCCCTAATCGCGCTACTCGATTGTTTTAGCCATGAACGTAGTGATGCCTGTGTGTGTGACGTCTTGTCCGCGCGCTTTATGCTTGGCTTAGCGGGCCTCGAAATGGATATCGGAGGCAGGCACCTCGCAACACGCGTGTTTGTTTACATTTTGTGACGTTCTTTGTGCTTTATATTATATTTTCGCATATATACATATTATATATTATATATATATATATATACATATATACATATATATATATATATTATATATATATATATATATATATTTATATATATATATATATTATATACATATATATATATATATATATATATTATATATATATTATATTATCTTATATTTTCGCATTTACAGCTTTGTGACGTTCGGGAGTTCTGCGATGATAACCTCGTAATTTCTCAACATTTCTTAAGGTGCATGGAACATTTTACCAATTTAGTGGTGTCAGTTATAGTCACGGATATGTCACAGTAAGTACTAACCGTATATGTTTCACATACGTTCACCTATTTTGCACACAGGCGGTCGATCATTGTGAAAATGTGTGAATATTATTTTTATTGAGACGTTCCAAGTGCCTGTGCTTTCAACAGTCTTGTACGTCAATGCACGCGCGTCAAGAGCCACAAACTCAACACAATTTTATCTCTGTTATTGTTTACGCCTGAATGCGTGATTGATCAGGGAGGGGGTGCATGTAAGAAGGAGACATTTCTTTGCGGGTTCCGAAAAACACAATTCCACTTGACAATTTCATGGGCCATTTCAATTGGAAGCTCTGCATAATGGACCCCCAACAAGAAATTCAAAGGTCTGTATATTGCTCTTATTTAGCCGCCGATAGTTCTTATCTAGAACAAAGACTTCATTGTTATCTTCTAAAACTACAGACCATCCGCTGGACCGCTGTGGAGACGTGCGCGGGCCTCGAATTTGGCGCACGTCTCCACTGCGGACAGCGCTTCATACTTGAACATCCCGCGCGTCGCGTGCGCATATCCGCGGAACTGCGCGTCTCATCCGCGCGCAGCGCTCAGGATCAACAGCAAAGCTGTGCCACTGTACTTGTGTGTTGCAGATGAGCATTTGACCGGCATTTACGGGTAATAATCGGCAATAATAGGCCAAATAGAGCAGAGAAATATTAAGACTGGTAGTAAATACATTTCGTGTTTACCTTTTTTTTTATTGAGACGTTTCAAGTGCCTGTGTTTCAGAGGTCTTGAATAGATTGGAAGTTGCATAAATTGATTGTTAAATGAGCTCTTTGATTGTAAACGTTTATATATGTTTTGAAAGCTGTATGATTAATTTGTAATTTATGCTATACATTTGTCGTTGGTTACCTAATAATTTTGAAACCAACAGATAGATTCGCATTTCTGGTGATTAATGTTAAAAGTAATGAATAAATTTCAAACTTATTGAACTGATTCGTTATTCTGTAAATTAATTTCAAACTTATAATTTCAATTGTTAGGGTGATGAAGCAAGATATGAACGTTTGTGAGTTTATGTAACATGTTCGCATTTAAATTGCAAGTTAGTAAATTGTTTTGTTGTGTTGAAAATAAATTGTACGTTTAGAAAATGAATTTTTACAATGATGTGAAGGAATTTGTATATCAGGCAATTATTTTGGAAAGTTGTGAATTAATTTGCAAGTTAATAAATTGATTTGTTATTCTGTGAACTTATTTTAAGTTTTGAATTTAAATTTCTTAACGACAACAATATAAAGTTACAATATAAAGTAATTTTTATTTTTATTAATTAATTTGAAATGTTTTAAATTGATTTAAAATTTTGTATTTGAAATGTTTGAAAATGATTTTTGAAATGGCTTTCCATAATTAACAGTGAATAAAAGTAATCACTTATTCCTTACTTCCCTCTCGCGGATGGTATCGCCCACGGCGTCAAGAACACGGTGGAAAGTTTGCCAGCCAAATGGCCGTATTTCAGCCGAAACTTTTTCACCTCCCGAGGCACAAAATGTGAATTTACGCCTATAATACACGCGCACGCGTGCGTGCGACCATACCCGCGTGCGCGCGTCTGTTAGTGTGTGTGTATGTGTGTTTATGTGACTGTAAAACGGGTATAAGCCGTATAATCAGCCGTATAATAATCAGCCATATAGCCGTATAATCATATTTTGTGCCATGGGGAAGGTGTGAAAAAGTTGAGGCTGAAAACCAGCCATTTGCCTGAATAAAATTCACCGCGCTAACGAGGTCGTAGCAGGCGATACCACTTCGGAGAAAGGGTTCTCTTATTCCCGAGAGAATATAACCTGAAAGGATATAGATTACCATAGAAAGTACCATATAAATAGATAGACATATCAGATATAGATAGAATACCAGATATTGAATGAAAAGGTATTATTGGTATTTTCTTCGTTTTTCGTGATGGTGGATTCTATATGGTACATTATTCCTGCTATAAGCACTCAGTACATGGAGGTTACAATATAATAATTTAATTGCCAAACATAAATTTTTTTGTATTGGTTGCATAATGGAGTATTAATGAGGTACTTTTCTACAGCAAGTAGGCCTACATACATTTGTGTGCAACAAGTCCATGAGTTGACATCGAAAAACAACACTAATGAAAGCACCGTTTCTAATGCGTATAATAAATTTATTTATATACAAGTACCAACCGAGGTTATCATTATATTACAGGTAAATTACGTAATTTTCCATCAATTCGAATATCAATACACAGTATAGTCGTGCGCTAACATTAACTTACGCACTAACCTCGCTTAAATATGTAGAAACCTTGACATGTGTAATACATAATTATAGCACACCCAGAAACCATCACACAGCAAACGTAATCTACACATTGCGACACCGCTGTCATAGGTATTTGAATCACGAGCAAATATACGTTTCACAAAATAAATAGAAAATTGTGATATACACGCGATGTCGGATTTTTTTTTAACAAACAAGCAAAAAAACAAATAAAGCAAAATATCGGAATCTAAATAGATGTACTTGTGTACATATCGTATTCCATTTTTTATCTGGTGATTTTTGTTACAGCTAACTATTTTCATCACTTATTGTTCATTAAAGTCTATTCCAGACAAACGAATGTACTGCAATTCCGTTGGGGTGTGTTGGAATTTCATTCTCCAGGGTTCTGTGTGCGTTTTCCCCACCTAGTTTACCAATGATTCACAAGCTAATAGTCGTTCAAAATCTCTTCCAAACGCATGTACAACAATAATACATCATATCAGTTAATATTTACATGCGATGAGGCCACATTTTACCAATAATTCAAAAAACCTCTAGAAGAAACCTTTCTAAGCGCAATGTTTAATGATTAAAAAATAAAAAAAAGGAAACCTTATATGTAATGTTGAACTATTCTATGTAACAGGTAAACAAAATGCAAACAAATAGACGTAGTCACGATCAATAAGTAATCATATAAGTAACACAGGATTCTGCGATATAGTCTATATTAATATGGTGGATAATTGCTAGACTAACAAGCAAAATGAAAACGATTGCAAATCACACAAACCCGTTTTTAGAACCCAGCAACCGAGAAAAACATTTATGTTATGTTGATGAAATAACGCATAATGCATAAATTTAAATTAATATAATACACAATAAAGGTCATTCACTTATAGTCTTACCACAGCCATTGCTATCGTACGTATCACATATGCATTTGAAGATAAAATAATCACTTTACACAATAAATTATGTTTAGTTACGATAAATGATAACAAGACTTTTTAAGATAAATTTCGATTATTACGTTTACAAATCAACACAAAATTACGATGTAACAAAATACCTGACCAATTTCAAATCAGGATGAATAAAAATCGAAGCCCTGTTAACTAAGAACACTTGAAAAAGTACGATACCTTGTGACATTTTGGGCTTGAATCACACGTACCGTTACAAAACTGAGTCGCAGGCAAACGGATAGCAGATGCACAAACCGACAAGCTCAGCACTGAACCTGTACAATACTGTTACAAACCAAGACTTAGTGTAATAACTAATAGTTTATATGGTAGCTTTATCTGACCGACATATACAGTCATGACGAGAAATTATTTTATATATTTATAGACACTTTTATTGTGTATGTAATATAATATTTTGATTATGTGATATATATATACTGCAATGCTACATTATATTGTAAATGGATGGCTTAATTAATAAGGAATATTTATGGTATAAACTATGCATATCGAACAATACTATTCTCCCACTATAAAGTGCTAGGCTAGCATATTATCATTCGCCAGACAAATATATAACCGCCTCGTATGTTACACATGTGATAATAACAATTGAAAATCAACTAGAATTGCACTATTTTATATACCCCTGATACTATCGGGAATGAATAAATCTGATTGCCCATAGTTATACACACCTTCTGTTCTATCTACTATGAACTATGGCAAATACACAAATAGGAGAATTTCTGCACAATAGTCAAGTTATCTTGAAATATCGACCCAAAGCGATTCATTGAAAATCCAGGATAATACTGCAAATATTGTGGTTCTGATGAATTGGAAGTGCTCGACCTTTAGCATAATGCACCGTACTCACCAGGGCACCTGTACTGTACTGCTTTATCTCGCAGATGACAAGTGTCCACAACGCGTTTTTATTATCGATTATCTGTTTCTATAGCTGTGCCGTCTTTTTCTGGCAATGTGAGATATGCAGTTTGCAAAATCTGACAACTGAGAGAACAGAAAATTGAGCTTAACCACAATAAACCTATACCGACACAATACATCCAGTAAAACTGATGAGATTCTGCCTATTTGATGTATATATATATATATATATATATATATATATATATATACGAATTCTAAACAACAGTTATTGGCGTATTATGCACGTTTGCGCAGTATATTCACTATTTTTGAAGGTATAATCATTACACGTGCACATGCATTTACATTACAGACTTGCATTATAGTTATGCTTGCTTTTTGAAGAGTACATTAACTTTCATCATAGCACTCATAGGCACTTCTCTATGGCAAAGTCAACCATCCACATAGTACATTCATATAAGTAACAACTAATTTCCCTAATTGCTGGTAACACTCCTGCTAACACTACTCAGACTGCAACAACTACATCTATTTAGAATTAAATAAAAATGTCGTGCAAACTGTATGTACTATTGGGAAGACAGCTGGGCATATAGGGGAAAAATTTATCGAGAGTGAATCACAATCTGTTACTGCTTCGTGGTATTTAAATACACATCTCGAGTATAAAGTAACTACGGAAATTTCACCCTTTTAGCTATACTATATGTTCACACGTAAGGCCACCTACACTCTAAATCACACTAGTATATAGCCCCAACTTCGCCTTGTAATTTGAGCCTGTGCTTAGCCTGGTCAACAGCAGTAGTGTGACTGTAATTCTTACTTATCCTCATCTTAGTTACCAACCACAACCCCAGTCCTGCCACATTTCAACCCGATCCAAAACTAAACCACTACGCTATTCGTTTATAATTTATCTCACATCCGAACACCAACCGCCCACGCAGCAACGCGTTGGAGGTTACGAGCTGCTCCGGGATGCGACACTAACGCGACGCGACGCACTCCCGGTCTCTAGAAGCAGGCTCCTCGTCGCCACGCAGCAGTCGTCACACGTGGTTGGGATCGGTCGGCCCTAGCAGCCGGTCCATTTCCGGCGAGGACGGGCCGTCGGCGTCGCGTGACGACGACTCCGCGTCCGCGTTGCTAGCGGCGGGCGTCCGCGCGGCGACATCATCGCCCAACGTAGCGCTTGACGTCTCGGCGTCGGCGATCAGGCTCTGGTCCTTCATCGACGCCTTCTCCGCAGACGTCCACTCCATTGTGAAGAAGTCCTCGGACGATTCAATGCGATGCTCCATCTCCATGAGCGTCGTGCGCCGCGCCGCCCAGTACTGACTGCGCTTGATCAGAACGAGCTGACAGTCAGTGACGAGATGCACCGAGTAGTCGGGCGTGAATACTACCGACTTCGGGTGCGCTATATCTGGATTGGAAGTAGAAGAGGCGGCAAGGCGTGAGAGGGAGCCGTGCGGCGGCAAGCCCGCGCGCGCCGCGAACGGCGACACGATGGAGGCGGCGGTGACGCTGCGCGTTCGGGGGTAGTAGATCGAGCGCAGCGTGCGCTCCTGGCTCAGCTCTATCTCATCTAGGTGCGGTGTGTGCGTGCAGGCGTAGACGCAGGTGCAGGTGCAGGCGAGAAAGAGATGGAAAGACAAATAGCAGACATTTAGCAAACAAATATGACACAGCGACAGTTCCAACATCAGTTACGTTCACTTCTTGGACAATATAGAGTAAGAATAAGCAAACAAAAACGTGTATTAAAAAGGTTTACACACAAGCAAACTATTGCAAAGGTAAACTTCCAACAGAATATACTACAGTCACCATATAAATTAATATCTTTAAAATTAATTGGCTGCAAATACATTTAAAAGTGCTGTGCAACTATAACACTACGTATAACCACTGAGAAATCTGCAATATAAATCTGCAGAGGCAAGCATCTTTAATGCAAAGGAAAAATTCATGCAATGTTTAGACAAGCTCGTAGTTTCTAAGTAGCTCTAACAACACATGCATTTTTACCCCAGCCACATTTTATTTGCAGTAAAAATAAATGCGCTTACCAGTTGTGTGTAGCATTTAACTTGGAATGCAACTTGTCATTGTATTTATTACATGATGGCACATGTATGAATGAGCAGTAAGGTTAGTAGTTTTCCGTTTTCAATGCATTGGATCATGAAAAACAAATCTTTATATCGTATTCTCCTGATCAAACAAATCTATTTGACTTAACAAGTAGCACTCAACAACTAAGTTAGTTAACTCTAGTTAACAGCAAATGTCAGAACTACGCATTGGATAATGATGAGGAATTCTTACTAATAAAAGCAATCATGCATGCAGCATGATAAGAGGTGTATATATACTCACCATGCAACGCTTGCACACCATAGTAGGAGAATGGACCACTTTCAAACACTAGATTTTCTTTGCCTACACTAACCTGCATTGAGCCAATTAAGAAAGAAACTCAATTCAAATACTTTTTCCAGTTACCATGGATCGATCACTCAACATACACCACAAGAAATCCACGGATGATCAGCATGACCAACTTACAGACACGTATAATATGTTAGCAATCCCATAAACAATGGCTCAATCTTGCTAGCAGAGTGAAAATACAACTAATAATAAATTGATTAATTTAGCATTAATTATAACATAATTTAGAAAAATTAATAACACGTTAGTCTGGATGTAAACATTGCATACGTAAACAATATTATTACAAGGTAACCAAGGTAACCACAGGTACCAAGGCACCAGGTGCACCAGTAGATTAATTATAACCACGCAGCCGCCCACTTCCAATCAATAATTGATTGCCTGTTCCACGCTATTGTTGAAAGGCAGCTCACCATAAGACACCAATCTCATGTTTCAGCAGTGGCTGCTACCCGACCGGCTGCTCAGTTCTCCATATGCTAACATGCGCTACGGTTGATAATGGACAACCAGTTATTGATTAGGCGCACATCTGCTGCTGGCTGGCATTCATTCATGGCTCCTCACTCGGTAACACATACCTGCACTCGGCCCTCCAGAATGAGGATGAAGTAATCGGCCATCTTTCCTGCTGTATAAATCTGAACGTCTTTCTCTCTGGCGTCTTTCAATTTGACGTCTTTGAAGATGTCCTGTCGAAGCAGACGCTGCAGGACCGTCTCGGAAATAAAATCTTTCTTGAATGGTTCAATGCCTGCGATGACAAACGAATTCATACGAGACGTTTATCAACCGATTTCCAGTTCTTGAAGACGTTTATTTTACATTACTTGCATATATGCAGAACTCAGTGAATTGTGGACGATGATCGCTTTGCAATACAACTTATTATTAATAACACGTTTGAAAATGAAAAGGAAGACAGGCAAAGAATCACACTGGCAAGGACTCTAATGTAAACATTTTTCATAGTTATAGAACAAAGTTAGACAACGACATATATGTGTGACCTACGAAAACAGATTACCTCAGATTTATGCAGAATACAGTATGATTATCAAACACTCAAGATTATGTTAATTAATCAAATTAATTCATTACCATGATCATAAATCAGCAAACTTCCCCCAGAAGGATCAAGTCAAAACCAACACATGACATTTTAATACTAAATCAATAATTAATTTAATTTAAAATGCAACTTATTTCCATTAATATGCATAATAACCAATTGTTAACAATGAAATATTGACTGAACAGCAAATCAAACAAATTATCATTATATTTACACACATCAATGTGTAGTTTTCAGCCTGAGAAATGTAATATTTAAACACCAAATAACTTAGTACATATAGTAACTAAGTAAAAAAAAATGTTTTCTCACTTGTAGATAGGAACTGGAATGTAGCTAGCTGCAGTTGTGGTGACATTACTGGTTTGTTGGGGTTGCATGCTGCCTGGTGACGGGCGAAACCCATGAAGTCCTGTCGTACCTGGGCCGCCCGCGGTTTCTTCATCACATTATCAGCTGTTAAGTAATAGCATCTGATTAATGGCCTCGTAGAATACAGACACAGTGCGTCACACTCTAGATCCAAGCGCACAATTTAATGCCTGCGTGGTCTAATAAGATCACAACTGCACAGCAGACGAAATCCAGGCAAAACCCAGGCAACTCTACAGAGCATATAAACCATGGTTTTAAGACACACGCACAACACGGCAGTTCATCTCGTTGCTTCTTGATGTGATCGATTATCCTTTATTAATTCCTAACGAATTTGACGTACAAATGACGTCTGTCTCGTCCAGGATTTCCTCCTGTATAATTTCCTCTATGATGTCTTCAAGCGTGACCAGACCCAGCGTGCCATATCGATTGTCCTTGTCGTCCTCTTCCACAACTTCCTGCACAAACGCAATGTGATAGTTGCCTGCGGAAAAAATAGGGAAAAAATTCACGTACTATATATATACATTAGAAGTAAACATTATTACATTATTTATTAGTAGGGTTCTGTTGTTGTTGTGAAGCCTGGGAAAAAGAAGCTGTTTAAATTTTGACCACTTTACTCACGATGCCAAACGAAAATTCGCTTTCACGTAATCATAATTTAAAACAAGTGCCGCGGAGCGACAGCGCTCATCTAACGTCTACTGCGGTGACTCTGTGGTGGAGTGGTGGGATTCTAGTAAACCCTGTTAGTCCCAAATGTGTTCACATACTGTAAAGTATGGGTTGCAGATGTAACAAATAGTAGTTGAGTGATTGGAAATGTAGCGACTGTGGTTGCATAATGT